AAAAAACAACGATTGAAATGATTTTTTGTGTTTTTACTTTTTGATGTTTTTTTTTTCTTGTTTTTTTTTTTCCATAAAAATATTTGTTTATTCTCTAATGATCATAGATGTGCAAATTAATACACGAAGCAAATTGATTAATCTTTTATTATCCTTCATTGTTTATTTTCTTGTCTTTTCTTTTCTTTTCCTTTGGTAAATTTTTTACTTTCACATTAGCATTACTACCGTGTAATTAAAAAAGTTACATATCTACAAGAATTTTATACAAATATCCTTAGATTTCCCAAAACCCATCTTTGTTTTTTTTTTCTTTTTTTCTTTTTATAATACAGATAATGTCTTTTTTAATGACAAGGTAGGAACACAGTAAGTAAGTAATTTATCATCGTGATTTATATCTTATCAAGAAATTTAAAGAATTCATACAGTCGTATCACACAAAAAAAAAATAAAAAGAAAAGAAAGAAAGAATAATAATAATAATAATAATATTTAAATAAAAATAATAAAATAACAGTGTTAGGAAAAATCTTTGGCTTCCAATGATAAATTTGCAAATCTATGATATAGAAATATTAACTTAAAACTGACTTTTATATTCTAAATATTGTTTCTTTTTTTCTTTCTCGTAATATTCAATTACAAATGTCTTGGAGATAAACATATTTCATTTAAGGATAATTAAATGTAGAACATAATGGGGTTCTGTGTTTGCATCTATAATTGCAAATACTTTTAGTGAAATATGTTATAGATATCCAAGACTTTTAGCACCTTATTGAAATGAAATAAGATGATTTACAACAAACAAAACAAATCTGGAATATCATTTAAACCTTTTTTGTTTTTTTTTTTATATATATATATATAGAAATATTAAAATTTACTTACTGAATGCTTCTGATGGTATTTGACCACGTTTAAAGAATTCTTGAAATGCGGATAAAGCATTGTCATAGTTCCATTGAACTTCTTGTAAACATTTTAAACTCCATTCCAGATTCATATTAGTTTGTTGGCTCAATGTTACAATCATTTGTTGCTTCACAGTTTCCGACAATCCCGGAACTGTTTCTCCACCAGCAGTTGAGTTTGATGGTTTTGATGATACTGATGGTTCTTCAGACATTGGCTCTTCAGCCATTGGTTCTTCTGATATTGATTCTTTTTCAGTATTGTTCAATAAGAGCTTTCGTTGTGATTCGGTTGTGTTACTGATATGTAATTGTTCATTACAAATACAGTATCCACTACCTTGTGGTACTATAATAAAAGTTCTATTGAAGTAACGAACGTGTTCTTCTTTAGTTAGCTCTTTGAACAGTCCAGTTACTGTAACAAACATCAGTCTTTCCTGTAAAATAACAACATTAATTAGAATATGATGATAAAGTTAACATTTCAAAGTTTCATATTTATATGAAAATAAGATACTTACAGTAACTAGATTGACGTCCATCGTAAATGTGCTTAAAACGTGTTTAGTTTGTGGCATTTCAGAGATAAATGATACTACAGGCAATTTGCCTTGTTTTAATAATTTTTGCCTTCTATTAGCATCATTTATTCTAAATAAATTTCTATTTTCTCCAGTATAAGAGTTCAATCTGAAAAAAAAAAGAAAAGAAAGAGAGAGAAAGAGATTTAATTAACATTTGATTGCATCCTAAAATCTTAATGAAACATTCATAAAATCATATTTACAAATATTGACTTACTTGTTAGCATGATGGGAATTAGTATTCACAGTCAAACTGAAGGATGCATGTTCATCATAAGCATCTAATAATGGTTGACGATTGCCACTATCGTAAACCATAAAGTATTGTTGCAAAAATTGACTGGCTATTTCTTGAGCTTTAGCATTTGAAGTAAATATGCGTTGGCTGGAAGGCATTTTTGATGCATCATCCATAACATCAAATAAGATTGGACGTGGTAGTTCTATTCCGTCCTGTATGATAAATCAAACACATATTCATGTTTTTTTAAATATACTAATATTAATCCTTTGCACTCGAGGCCCTTTTTCACTTGCACTTAACCAGCAAACTCGAAACAATGTCAGCCAAATTAGGGAAACATTTTACACGTACTTTAAAAGTCATTTATAAATCAAACAAACGTATACAACAAATAATTACATTTCATTAATTTATTTTTATATCAAAAAACAATGCGATCAGAGTAAACCTTACAGACCCTTTTCAACTCTTTAAGTATATCTTAAAAGAAATATCTTATCACACATCGTAAATAAGCAGATTGAATAACAAAAGACTTTAAATCAGTTACCGGGCGCCGTATCAGCGTCACTCGAGTGCAAAGATTTAAATATAACTGTTAATTTAACACATTCACGGCCAAATAATTATTATTTATATAAACATTTATTTGTTATTTTTTTKTTTTTATTAGTGGTCGCGAATGTGTTACATGTTAGTTTGAAACTACAACTTACCAGTCGTAGAAGTTTGGGGAATCTTCTCCGCACATCGCTGTTTTGGAAAGAAAAAAAAAAGAACCCGGGGGCTCCGCATTAATAGAAAAGAAAAATTAAAAACATTATTAAGAATCTAATATTACATAAAATAGAAACTTACAATCTTTTATATGCTCATGAATTAATGTAAACTTACGTTAGAAAACATTAGAAGTGTTGTTGAATATAAATATGTATATAGTTTTTAAATATGTAATGTGAAAAATGAAATTAAAAATAAAAGTAAATAAAAAAACAAAACAAAACAAAATAAATGTAACAAATTAAAGATAAAACACAAGCTTACGCTGCATTATTATTATTATTATTAACTGGCATTAAGAACTCGAAAGTTCATTGCCGCAAATACCAAATAATCCCGGAGCCATTGTTTCCGTCCCTGAACGCAATCCTTCAATTCGCGATCATCGTATCCTATTTCTTTCAGGTCCCTTCTAATATTATCCTCCCATCTACGTTTCGGTCTACCTAGTGGTCTTTTCTCGTTTGGTATACCGACCAATATTTTGTGCGTCGTTCGATCCTCCCCCATGCACCGAACATTTTACGAACAACTTTGTTTTCGAAAACTCTACATTTCTTTTCGTCCTGTAACGTAAGCGACACCACGATTCGCTACCATAAAGGACTACCGGCAGGATGATTGTCCTATATATCCTGATTTTCAATTACCTAGACAGCAACCGCGAGCTGAGTAATTTGTTAACCGAATAAAAACATGAATTGTCTAGATTGATTATTTTCTTAAGTTCTTCGTTAATTTCGTCAGTCTGGTTTATGATCGGATCCTAAATACCTAAAGTTGCTGATCCACTCAAAAGTTTTATCCCGGACGACCAAAGTTCCAATACTAAGCCTATTCTGAACTACTCTATCGATTACCATATATTTGGTTTTACGCAGCATACCAATTATTTTAGATAAATTTCTGTTTCGAACAACAATGGCAATAATTTAACCATACATTACCTAATATAGTCACTCTGTCGGGATTTATACTTGTTGCATACAGGATTACCAGCTAATTTTAATTCTTCTAGTTTAAGATCCTTGACAAAGTCTAAATGATTTATTTCTCTTATCTGTAAATGAAACAATTGATTAATAACACAGCACTACTTTTTGCATGTTAAACTTGTAAATAGAAAGAAAAAAAAGAAAATATCTATTTACCTTATTATCGCCTATGTACAATATTTTCAATTTGGGAAACTTTTTATGAAGTACGTTGAGTTTTTCAATTAAGTTCAATTTGTTTCCGTCCAAATTTAAAGCTTCCAAATTAGGGATATATTCTGCGACAATATCCAATACAGTCATTAACATAACTGGACGAAATAATGCGCAGAAATAATCAGAAACAAGATCTGTAATATCAAGATAAATAAATTTAACAAATAATCAATTTATTTTGAATAATGTTGTTTATCTTTTTGTCAAGATTTATTCTTACCAGGATCTTGATGAAATTTAGATAAGTCTAATGCGTTGTTTTCTTGAACATATCGTTTAACCATAGCTTGCTTCATTTGTTCTTTTAATTTATCATTAATTTCACAATGTGGAAAGCCTGGTTTAACTCTAACTTGTAGTTTAAAACCATCAGTGGTTGTTATTTTTCGATCACAGGCAAGAAGTGCACTTGCAGTTTTATGATCATCAACATAAAAAACAGCTTCGGATCCCATAGTCTTGTACTGTAAACAAAATTAATATTAAATAAATTCAATGAAATTATTTTAAATACAAGTAATATTGTATTAATACGTATTATGTAATCTATATTTAATAAAAAGTTATTAACATTTATGTTAATATGTGACAGTGAGAAAAATATGCTTATCATGAATGCTTTTATATACTTTTGATAATGTAATAGGTTATAAATGTAAAAAAAATAATATTCTTATCAATAACGATGAAAATGTAATTAGTGTTTTTAGGTTAAACATATATGATATGGTATATGAAGTAATACTTACCATAATGGGAACGAAAGTCTCAGGAGCAATATAACTCAAAAGATTATTTATTATGTAATCTTTTGTATACTGTTGTCCATATGGCACCTAAAGAACAATATATATTAATTAATATATTTGTCTTGCATTTCTACCATAGCATGATAAAAATAAATATACATAAAGTTATGTTTAATATTAATGACAAATGTATTTGAATATTTGTTGAATATCATAGTAATGCTTTTTAAAAATTATTAAAAACAAAATGAATGCAACAATGTATAATTTATCAATGATTTAAAGGGTTAAACAGAAAGTTGTAGAAAATGAATTTAGAATAATATAAATATATGTATATTAATACTTACCATGATTTTATACCAATTAGCTTCACCAAGGGAAAGTGGTTGTCTAGGAACTAAGCCACCTCGGAAACCACGAGGTGGTAAAGGGCTGTTTCTTCCCCTAGATAACCCACGGCCTCTACCTCTAACAACAACTTGTCTATTATTGTTGTTATTATTATTATTATTATTGTTGTTAGAATTGCCTCCCATCGGAATATCTTCGTCAATAAGAGCATCTAGAAATAAATCTCTCACTACTCTCATATTTCTAGATGGCCTTGGTTGTTGTTTGAATGAAACACGAGGTCGGGAAGCATATCTTCCATCCCGTCTCAAGTGTCTATCATCGTGCCCTGGAATCATTAAAAAACAAATATTAATTGATATATTATTTTGCTTGCTTTTTCGATATTTTTAACAATTATTAGAAAAAAGAAAAAAATGAAAAATTCAGAAAAAAATGATTTTTTTTTTTTTGGAAATAGTATATTAAAAAATGAAAAATATATTAATAATTATTACGATATATAGAAATGGAAACAAATGCAAGCGATGAATAAAATATTGAAAATAAGTTTTCTTTGTTCTTAATTCAAGAGCGTTGTGTAAAGCGTAGTTAGATATAAATGATAATTTACCAAAGTAATGTTTTTCCTCAGTATTATTTACTCGTCCACCACGATTATTCCAAGCAGCTTTAGCCGATCTCTTAGGCATTTTGGCAAATATATTTTTTGTTGATACACTTTATAAACTCAAAAATATAAAACTTGTAACTTTGCACCTAATGCAATAGGTTAGAAACCAACACGACACCTTAACGAAGAAACTTACAACTGACCAGTACGAACACAAGAACCTAGACGACCGACCAGTTCAAGTGCAAGACTTAAAATGACGAATTTGGAGAAAATGGCTGTGATGGTCAGTACCTCGAGCCGCCGAAAGAGAAATTAACAAAATTGTAAAACTAAATGATTCTTATATTAAAGACAAATTAGGAAATATTCGATTCGAATATAAATTTTAATAATATTAAACGAATAAAAAAAATAAAATATTTTTATAATTAATAAATATTAATAAAAAAAGGAAAAAGTTATTTGATCGTAGCGCCACCAAGAGGTCACATTTAAAAGTTTTTCTTACACTCCACCACATTGATGACGCATAAGGAACTCTATGCAACAGACTATACTTTAAGGACTACCCGACTTTCTCATCTCAGACTATACTAAAAAATGCTATAGGATTATTCATACAAAAATAAATATGTTTTAAAATTCTAACATTTTAGCAAAGAATTCGAATTTTAAATGAAAATGAATAATAAAAATTAAACAAAACAAGAAGAAAATTGATAAATATACAGGTCTTTATACATATTTCTGTTTGCATATAATTTATATACAGATGAAAAATCGTATAATAGATGCTAGAATAGAAATTAATAGAAAATTCCTTTGTCAATGGAATTTCTATTCTATGAATCTATACAGCTATACAGAATTAAACAATTGAATGATTTTTTAATTATAGAAAAATTCGAATATTTTAATTCAAATATAAATGTTGGCAATATTGAAGGGAAAAAATAAATAAAAAATTCTATTATTATTTAATATTATTTCAAAAGAGAAAGTTTCTTGTACCGTAGCAACATCCTATAGATTTCTAACAAAAGAACCGGTTTTTAGATATTCCCTTCCCCCACTGTGATGACTCATGAAAGGCCCGACGGTACTAACTGTACCTTAGGGGGTAAGTTTTCCTTTGTATATATATCTACCTGTACCTTAGGGGGTACGTTTTCCTTTGTATATATATCTACCTGAACCTTGGAGGGTACGTTTTCCTTTGTATATATATATACCTGCAGAAATACTATAGGATCTGTCGTGAAAAAAACGTATGTGAAAACTGTACATGTTCAAAAGAGAAATCGAATTTTTCTCTTTTCCAAATGTCTRTAAACATATTTTGATGAATCTATACAGCTTTACAGAATTAAACAATTATATTATTTTTATATTAAAGAAAAAGTAAAATGATTTCAATTCAAATATAAACTTTACGATAGGTATCAAATAAATTTAATATTTGTATAATTAATAAATAACATTGTAATTAAAAAAGGATTAATTATTTTGAATCGTAGCGCCAACTTGTAGGCACTTTTAGAAGTTCTAATTTACATTCCCTTACATTGATGGCGTATAGATGGCTGGACTCATCTGATATTTTAAAATTCTAATTTTTCAGTAGAGAAATCGAATTTTAAACAAAATTATAAATAATATTTATAAGTATTTGCTTAAAAATATATTTTCTTAAATTTTCGAAGTAAAATTTGATAATTACAATGACCAATGAGAGAACATAGTTGAGTACAATTTGATATCAAGATAGCCAATCATTGGAAATTACTTAAATATATATTGACAATGATTGGTTTAATTTCAAACAACATAAACGTCTTATCCAATCGTAGTAAACCTTTAATATGAATATTTTGTTTGATAAGAAATTATCATTTTGATTGGAAATAGTGTTAAGACCAGTTTACACATTTTGTTAAGACCAACTATATAATCATGTTTGCAAAATAGATAATTTCTTAAAGGCTAAATTTAATGGATCGTCACTTAGTTGCTGTCATTTCTGATAATCGGCATACGATATGCCAACTCACCTACTATTATGTAGATATGAATTTTATTACAAAAGTATTAAAATTTGTGACAAAGTATTAATTTATTATGAGCTAGAGTGACGTTTTATATATTTAAACTTATTAACGAGGGAACGTATACTTTGTCACGATGGCGAATTCACTTGTCGCAAGTAGTCAGGATAATACTTCGAAATTCTTAGAATCCCTCCAAGCCGATTTGAAGTTCCTTGCTTCTGAAAGTAAGAAAAAATATCCTCAAATAAAGGAAGTAAGTTACAATTACTTATATTATTTTAATACACTTTGCTATTATATTACTTAGATTAAATGTAGGTTAAGTTTTAAAGAGTGTAACTTTATAGTTACCATTATACCAATAAGCATAATATTATGATTATTTTTAATATAAATAATTATATGTTATAAGTAATAAATATCAATGATGTATGTGCAATAATTTATTAATTAATATGAAATAATTTCTTACAGTCATGCGAAGAAGGAATAACAAAAATAAGGTCTGCTATGAGTGCATCTGGAGGTCCAATATATTATATTGTAAATCAAATCTTATATCCTTTAGTTCAAGGTTGTGAAAGTAAAGATTTAAAAATCATTAAAGTTAGTATCTTCTAATGATATTATATTATTATAATTAAAAGATATAATGAACGTCATATTATTTATACATTAGTACATATTAATAATATTATTCAATTTTTTTCAGTTTTGCTTAGGTATAATGCAACGATTAATAACTCAGCAAGCCATAGATCAGAAAGGTGCTCGTTATATTACAGATACATTATGGATGCTTATGGAATTAGGAACCGAAGAAGTTAAAGTTTTACAGACTGTAACTCTTCTTCTTACAAGTAATACTATTGTTCATGGAGATACACTTGCAAGAGTAATTAGAAATATATATAAATATATATATCAAATTATAAAAATAAGATGTTTATAATAAAACGTAAATTCACATTATTATCAATGGAAATTTTTATTTGCAGAATCTGGTTCTTTGCTTTAGATTGCATTTTACCAAGGATTGTACGACTATCAATACAGCAGGTGCAACAGTAAGACAATTGGTATCATTAGTATTTGAACGAGTAGTTGCAGAAGATGAACAGACACTCGATCATCCAGAAATTGAAGAAGTTAATTTGGAGGAATTAAAAACTCCGACGAATCAAGCACCAAAAGGTCTTGGACCTTGTGCTGCTGATGCATATTTAATGTTTCAGGTAATTATATTTATTTCTTTTGTTTACTTAAGAAACGAATTGAAATTAAGATTAAATGTTTTGTGTATTTTTTAAAGGATTTAGTACAATTGGTAAATGCTGATCAACCATATTGGCTCATAGGGATTACTGAAATGACAAGAACATTTGGTTTAGAATTATTAGAATCTGTTTTAACCAACTTTTCGTCTGTATTTTTTAAGGTATTTAAAAAGAACATGTTATATAGATAAATTTAAGTATGGTAAAACATTTGTCAAAATAATTTTATTTTATTTAGCATCCTGAATTTAGTTTCTTACTAAAGGAAAGAGTGTGCGCACTTGTAATTAAATTGTTTTCTCCCAATATTAAATATCGTAACTCTGTGCCAGCCTCGGTACAACAAGCAACGCCACTCGATAAACCTTATTTTCCAATTAGTATGCGTTTATTAAGAGTTGTATCTATCCTCATACAAAAGTATCATTCACTTTTGGTAAGTGTAAATAAAATGTTAACATCAGATATAAAAAAATAATTCGATAATATATTAATAAGGATTATTTTCTTTCAGGTAACTGAATGTGAAATATTTTTGTCTTTGATTGTTAAATTTTTGGATCCAGACAAGCCTACCTGGCAAAGAGCTTTAGCATTAGAAGTATTGCATAAGATGACTGTACAAGCAGATCTTTTAACAAATTTTTGTGAATGCTATGATTTGAAACCACACGCAACAAATATTTTTCAAGATATTGTAAATAGTTTAGGTGCCTATGTACATAGTCTTTTTGTTAATCCACAAATGATTGGTCAAACTGGAACAGGTAATTACATGATGAATTTAATAGTAAAATAATATACGAATGATCAATATATATATATATATATGTATATTTTACATAGCAGCAAATACACCAATACCTCAAGGAACTGGTTCTCCAATCTTCACAGGTATGCCCGTTGGTCCTGGCATATCTCCACAACCTGGATTTTATTCGCGTGGTATTTGGCTACCAGTAGTAGCATCATTTACAAGTGGACATACCAAATCTATTTAGTAAGAATGATGTGATTATTATTAAATTCTGTTAAATGTAATTTATTATTTGGCATTGCTCTGATTTTCAATTTTATTATTGCCACCACTGTTGTTATTACTGCTTTTGCTGCTATCATTCTAATAATATAATAGTAGTAGGAGCAGTAGTACTGGTATTTATAATAATAGTCATTATATATGGTTAATATTTTATTATTGCTAATATCGAATTCTTCTAAATATGATCTGTGTGTAAGAGAGAGAGAGAGAGATATTTACATAATTATAAGTGTAGAAAAATATGTGTTTCAGTTTGGAAATGCTTGATAAAATTGAACCACCACAAATACCAATTGGTTATGGAATTAGTGTAGCTTATGCATGTCTATTAGATATAATACGATCAATTGCTCTTGCAATTAATGGCACAAAAGAAGAAAATGCTGAAAGTCATTATAAGCCGACTGAATTTGAACAAAAATTGCATGTACAACTGATCACTTCCAGTTGGTGTGGTTTATTGGCAGCATTAAGTCCATTGATCGATGCAAGGTATTTTTCCATTGGGATATTATTTTTCAAATTATTCATATTTTCTTATTTTAATTTGATGATATATTTTAATAAATATCACAAAACATTTTCAGTACTGATGAATCTGCTACAGAAAATGTTTTAAAAGCAATACAAACATATGCAGCTCTATGTGGTCAACTGGATTTGCAAAGTCCTCGTGATGCATATATTACTGCAATATGTAAAGGTTCTTTACCACCTCATTATGCCTTAACAGTACTGTATAATGCACCTCAAGGTATACCATGTGCCCGCACACAAGAATCAAATCAATATAATTTATCTATGGGTGAACCAGATCATCGACATCAAGTTGTTGCTGTTGGAACTCCTTTACCAACGGCTTCTTTACCTGTTGGTATGTC